AGTAATGAGCTGAACACGGTTCCAGTAAAGCTGCAATGGGAGCCCTTACATAACATTTCACTACAGGATATCATCCTCGCTGTCAGACCTCTGTATCATGACTTCACCTGTACATGCAAATCAAGAACCGACTGCTGAAATGTAATTGCCGTTCTGCAAATATCTCATTGTTGTGCTTTGGCGTACATACTCATAAACTCCCTCAGTGGAATATCTGCTCAGAGACGGACGGGGATATTACTCACCATGGCGTTACTGTTCGCAAATAAAACCAAAGCGTAATAAAAGAGATCCTTTAAAAATTCATGTGAGCCGAAAAGCATAGAGGCTAAGCACTGTGGGTGGTGAAGTATGTGTAGTGTGTGTGTGTGTGTGTGTGTGTATGTGTTTGATGGCGAAGTATGAAGCTTTATTTTAAATTATTCTGGTCATTAAGCTGAATCCGCGCCTGTGTGTCACAGCTCTCTGCACCTGACTGAGTGTTACATTGTGTATGTGGGTATTGTATTCATTTATGGCTATGTACAGTGTTTTTATTACTCAAGTGTGTGTGTGTGTGTGTGTGTGTGTGTGTGTGTGTGTGTGTGTGTGTGTGTGTGTGTGTGTGTGTGTATGCATGGCTTGGTATAGATAAATGTGTTTGTGAGAGCACATGTTTGTGTGTACTTGAGTGTACATCTACATTCATGCCTTTTATGTCTGTCATTTATACCCGGGTGAGTGGGAATGCAAGTTTCAGCCTGGTTACAATGTAGACCAGTTTGGAGTAGGTGTCACATTTAAGTCACAGCACACGCTCACAAATTTGGTTGCAGAAAACAGTGAAAGCAAATGGAGAGACTCATGGAGAAGCTGTACTTAAAGTGATTTACATTGTTCTAACATACATTAAACAATTAATTGGAATGACTAACAAAGAGTTAAAGGTCCCATATTATGCTTTTTCTGGTTTTATATGCTCTTTAGTGTGTTTTCCAAGTGTCCTGTGCATATTTATTCACATCTATGTGCAAAAATTCAAAGTCCGCGGAAACACGGCTTCTCCTACCTCCTCCTGTTAGCTGTAGCATTAGCCGCATGTAACGCTCGGTTCTAGCCCCCCCTTCGACAAAAAATTGTCAGTCCGACGTCATTGTCAGTGTGAGATCACTGATCTAAGCCCAGTGGCTCGTTGTGGCAAGTCCTGCAGCTCATGTTGAAATTTCCGAGACGCGTGCTGAGCAACTGACCCATAACGACAGAGCGTATCGGCAGACCAATCAGAGCAGACTTGGCCCACGTGGGGTCTAACAGCGGGGGCTCAGAAGAGCGTAGCTGACGGCCTCAGAGCGTAGAGGGAGCATGGAGGAGCAATACATGAAAACAGACACTTTTTTTGGACTTTAGCTATTGTGAACATACAAAAGTAGGTACATAGATTAAATATACCAACCCCAAAAAGGGCAGAATATGGGCTCTTTAATACTAACACAGCCATAGTGCAGTTCCCTGTCAGTATGTAGTTGTTTGGCTTCACGATAGACCACGTCTTGTATTGCTGCGTTTTATATCCTTGCCTCATGCTGGGCAGAACGTTGGTCCTTATTAAACAAAAACAATCTGACAAATCGCGGTATTCAAGGTCCTGGACGTGACTGCAAAGAACAAAATTGTATACGTCAAGAGAGTTGATTGCCTTGAGTCTTTCATTCGTATAGATGCTGGATTTCTACACAAGGTACTCCAAGATGCTGCCGTAACTTTGGCCTTTATGTTAGGACCTTGACCCACTGACCCAACAGTTAGTATGGGTCAGGAAGCCTCAGCCTGCTGCCAAACAATTAATATAATTAGAGGTACCCAGACTTTCTTATTTGAATGGACCGCAAGCTATAGGTACTTAACCTTACGTAAATATTTGGAATCTGCCCACAAAACATGTCATCACTATACGATTACCAAAATGGTCTATAAGCATGGATTTGTGTGTGCATTGCTTTGTGTGGACAGAATAGTATATTGATGTATTGCAGAGTGTATCTAACTTTGTACCTGCGTAGAGTATATGTGCATCAGTTGCTGTCTTTGTTGATGTGTGAGTGAATACCTGCTCTATTGTATGTGTTCTCTTGAGTGTGTGTATCTTTACAAGGACAAGTTTAAGTGTACAGTATGCAGACTGTTCTCATTCACTGTTCCAAGTCATGCCCACCAGACTTAATGCGCTATAATGCCAATGTAAACCTACATAATCCCCTCCTCACTCTGCATGTCTTCCAGAAGCATGAGGTACCCTTTAGCATCCTCATGAGCAGCACTGGGCTTCCATCTAAAGCATGGCTCACTGAAAAGATTTTTTAGAATCTTACTAGATGTTGAAAATGTGAGAGACCCCACACACAAGAAAGATGAAACAGTTTTGCTCCTATAGTGTGTGGAGAGCAACAATATGACCAGATTGGACCACTCTTTAAATCTGACAACATAATCTTTAGAGCCATCAAAATATCGTGACTTTGATTCGAAAGTGGGGAATCTAGCCCAAAATAGGTCTGATTTTATTGTGGTGTGTACCCACCTTCACAAATGTTAAACCCATCTGAGGCAGCATTAGACCATCAATCCATCCGGGTCGTGAAAAGCCATTTGGCAGTTAGATGATGGATAAAGTCCGCTTGGATTAAAGGTCTATACCAATAGATGAGTCAAACAAACAATGCAGGTCAGGAGATCAGGATTCAAATCAGGGGAGCAACTACAAATCAATGTTGGGTAATTATTGCACGTTGTTATGACTGTTGCCAAAATGTGATTTTATTGGTTTATGTTTGCCACCTTGTGTTGGATGTTTCATATCTGCCTAGAGTGGTTCGCGCCAGTCTTGGGAAATGAAGGCAGACTGATTTCCAGCTCTGCAGCTGATAGGCAGTGTTGGCGCTCTATCGCCCTACATAAACGGCACAATGATGTATGCCCCATGTCACAATCATGTAAAGGCTGATTTGGACAATTCTCATATTTCTGAGACAACAACTGACAAAAAGAAGATAATATAAGGTATGAGGCATACACACGTTATAAGGCTCCTTCTGGACTCCACACTTCAAGGTTTTATTACCCTACTTGAAAGTCGATCTAATCTCCTCCCTCTAATCATTTCCTGCAGGGGAAACATATTCCTCTATTTTCCAACACAAAGCTCTTTGCATTTAAACATTTTGAGCTCATTTGCCAACAATTCATGAAACCAGGCTGACCTCACTTGGTCTTTCACTTAACTTTATCTGCTTCCGCCCATCACTCTATTCCTCTCTAGCCTCCCAAAGTATTCCATTATTGAACGATTCACCTCTAGCACCTCTCCTCTCCTGCTGTCTCTTGCACTAAATCTAGTTTCGGACTTTATTGTCCTTGAAATTAGGTTTGCAGCAGAACCTGCCACACAGTACATACAATAAACAAAATCTACCGGAACATATGAGTCGCTCACATTCAAGATGAACCGCGGAACGAGTGGAAGATTGACTGACTGACCAGGGAGTCTGACGGCCTTTGCCTTCCATTTCCATTTATCTTGGTTCCCAGTTGTCTGTCTCTCTTCCCCTTTATAACTCTTCTGATCTGTAACTGTTTGCTAACTTTAAAAGTTCCCCAAACAAACATACAAAGACAACTACCAATGTGTATCCTCTGGTGCTGTAAGTTCAGGATTCCTATTGTAAGAAATGCTTTGATTTAGTAAAATTTGAATGCCCATATTCCTTATTTATCTGAAGAGTAATAATACAACAACAATAAAGTATTTTCTGCACTTTTTCTTGTGCTTGATTCCAAAGACATGCATAAATGGGTTCACTCTGGTGGCTCTAAAATCAAAGGCCTGGTCATATTGGGTCACAAACTTGAATCCTAGGTACAACAAGTGTGAAAAGATTCCTCCATACCTTTCACCAACCAAAAAAGTTTTGTCCTCAGGCAGAAGAAAACATGACAGAACAAAGAGACAGAAAAACTCAGCTTCATAGACTTACTGACAATAATTTTTTCAGGTGAACATTCACGATTCACTGAAAACAACTCTGCGACCCACCAGTTGAGAGCCCCTGCTCTGCAAGTTAGGAAATCTCTACTGTGTTACCTTGTCGTATTTCTGATTAAAAAAAATTCTGAGTTGGTCATCTGACGCTGATAATTGACAACAGGATTACAAGTCTGACATAAACCTTGTTTGTTGTGTTGGTAATTTGGACACTTGCCTGCTTAAATTCACCATTAATTTTGTTTTTTTATGAAGTCAGACCATTGGTGCTAGGTTTAGATTTTTTAAACCAATTTGTAGTTCACTGAGAAACACTTTATGCCATTGATGAGTTTAAATTTACCGTTGGAAACACATTTCCAGAGTAGACCCATGGTTTGAAAAATGTCAAAGTTAAGTGAAGCTCCACTAAATGGTCCTGCATTTCATTAGAAGAAACATGAGCATAAAAAAGAAATGAGCATAGCTTTGAAGGTTTGATGATGTTGCTGGAACTGTCCAATGATCGGCAACTTTTTGTCCCTTTCCCTTTTTGTGTTTCTGTGACCTTTCACCCTGTGTACTCTATTCAGAAAGCCTCGTTTTTATTGAGAAGTTTTAATGGATTCTCACAATTTCCCGCAAGAATCAAAATGAAAGGAGTCTCCTTTTATGAGCGACCCACTGCTTTTTATCACTTTCGAACTCCATTTTGCACTCCTCGCTCTTTTTTTCTTCTCCCCTTTCTCCAATCTAAATTAGAAAAAGTCCCTTAGATTACGAAGTGTGATTGATGATACGAGGTGAGTAAAAACAAAAGTGAGAAAAGGAATAAACTTGCAGCAGAAATGAAACTTAATGAAGAACACACTCACACACACACACACACACACACACACACATACCCAACCGCACACACACACACACACACACACACACACACACACACACACACACACACACACAGTGGAGACAGGAAATAAGCAGTCATTGTTCTTCTTGTACGGCTTAATGTGACGACGATGAAGATGGCTGCTGCGTTCATCGTCTCTGCGCTTCTCATCTGCAGTTCCTTCACCTCCTGCACAGAAACACCAGGTACACCTCTACTCCTCCTCTACACCTCCTCAGAGGTGTCAAGTAACAAATCCTTCGTTACCTTACTTCAGTAGAAATTTTGGGTATCTATACTTTACTGGAGTAATTATTTTTCAGCTGACATTTTACTTCTACTCCTTACATTTTCACACAATTATCTGTACTTTCTACTTCTTACATTTTCAAAACAGCCGCGTTACTCCTATTTCATTTCGGCTTGTTTTCATACCGGCTTCCAAAAAAAAAAATCTGTGGTTGGATGAGAAGTATAAACATATACAGTACCATTCTGACTCCCTATTGATTTGTATGCAATCCATCGCATCTGCACATGACACAAATCACGTCACACTCCAGCAAGGAAACAGAATAAAAACAGTGAATACTTTTGACACCTCCTCTACATCTCTTCCACACCTCCTCTACACCTCCTCTACTCCTCCTCTACATCTCCTCTACGTCTCCTCTACACCTCCTCTACGTCTCCTCTACTCCTCCTCTACATCTCCTCTACATCTCCTCTACGTCTCCTCTACATCTCCTCTACATCTCCTCTACGTCTCCTCTACATCTCCTCTACATCTCCTCTACACCTCCTTCTAGATTTCCAGCTTATATTCTGTTGGCATGGACACACTTCTGATTGGCCGGAAAGAAGACGTCACCTTGACTTCTAAATGTCATGTACATTTCTTCAGCCTGAGTGCAATTTTTTTTTTTTCAGCTCTCCTCATACACTGGGCTCCTCTCCACCTATAGATCTGTTGCTATAGGAGAGGCCTACAGTCTGTGTCACAGAGTTACCCTCTGATGGTCGGCAGATTTGAACATGAACACTGGGATCAAACACACAGGCTCTAGAAATGTAATCAATCAAATCTTTACCAATATATACTGTATGTGTATATATATATATATATGTTTGTGGCTTTGTAAGGACTGTTTGTGATTGCAGCTCAAACCAAAATAATTTATTTTCATGTTGAGACTAAGAGCCGAGCGTGCAGGAGCAGGAAGTTTTTGTGGTCACGGCAGTCTGAAACTGGGTTAACAAACAGGAAGCAACGCACAAAAAACACAGAACAACCAGTACAGCAGTCACACACACATTTAGTACATATTTTCTTTAAATTGTGTCAACCATCTAAGAGTAATTCTTCTTTTAGGTTTGTGAAGCTGTAATACGTATGTGTAAGAGACCTCATAGCAGCAGAGTTATATTTGGATTGAAGTGTCTGTTGTGAGCTGAGAAGGAAATGTGACTCTGAGACTGAAGAAATGTATATGTCTGATATTTACGAGTCAAGGAGATGTCTTCTTTCCAGCCAGGGAATTTGTAGGATGTACCTTCTAGCAGAATATAAGCAACACTGTGAAGATGAAGACTTTGCAAATGATTGCCAGCGATTGTGAGATCTTGGTCAGCATGGGTCAGCGATGGTCTGCACTTTGTCAGCCATGTGTGTTGTGTTTCTATGTTGTCTGACCATGGCTGAATAAATCCTGAGAGCCTGCTGAGTAAAGAGTCCATCAGTATTTACTCATCCATTCACACACATTCACACACTGTGAGTAATATAGTGTAATTATAGATTAAATATAGTCATATATCAATATATATTGATATATGTCTTTATATAGATATATATAAAGTCAATATAGTCATATAGATTCAATATCTCAGCAGGTCAGAGCAGCAGAACAAAGCTGTTCCGAGTCTCTGATTGAGAAATCCTATAAATGTTTGGTGACGAGTCTAAAGCCTCAGAGGTGTGAAGACGAGTCTATGTAACAACACCACAGGTAAGTGAACCCAAAAGCACGACTCACGACGCAGTCTTTGATGGGGGGGAAAAAAACAGTCTTTATTCTTGAAGAAGATACAATCCAAAAAAGTGATCAAAGGGGGATCAAAAGGCTTGAACGCTTCTCACAAGGGTCGAAGACGAACTGGCACAGAAGGAAGGGAAGCCACAGACTAAATAGTAGGGTGAGGGGGAAGACAATGAGATGCAGCTGGGAACAATCAGGGCGGGGCAGACAATCACACAGGTGGGAAACACATGAGGGCAGGAAGTGACGGATCTGAAACGAGAGGAGAAGTTAGTGACCCAAAACAGAAAATAAAACAAGATAGAAATAAAAACAACCTAAGACCCTGAGCTGGACATGACAGTCTGCACACATCCATCCAACACTTCCTGTAAAAACACATGAAATGTGGTCGTGTGTTTGCAGAGTGTTCACTGAGCATGCGTGTGTGTGATTTTATGTACTTTTTTGTTGTTTAATTTGAGCGCTGACTGTAAAAATTTGTGTCTTTAGATTTTACTATATATCAGTCAGTAACAGATCTATATATCAGTCTGTAACAGATATATATCGGCTTGTTACAGATATATATCAGTCTGTAACAGATATATATCGGCTTGTTACAGATATATATCAGTCTGTAACAGATATATATCAGTCTGTAACAGATATATATCAGCCTGTAACAGATATATATCAGTCTGTAACATATATATATATGTATATCAGTCTGTAACAGATATATATTGGCTTGTTACAGATATATCAGTCTGTAACAGATATATATCAGTCTGTAACAGATATATATTGGCTTGTTACAGATATATCAGTCTGTAACAGATATATATCAGTCTGTAACAGATATATATCAGCCTGTAACAGACATATATCAGTCTGTAACAGATATATATCAGCCTGTAACAGATATATATCAGTCTGTAACAGATATATATCAGCCTGTAACAGATATATATCAGTCTGTAACAGATATATATCGGCTTGTTACAGATATATCAGTCTGTAACAGATATATTTTGGCCTACAGACATCAGTCTGTAACAGCCTATAACTTATCCTGGTTTTGATCAGGTTTTTAAAGTATCCTGGTTCTGTGTTTCTTTATGATAACATCATATCTTGATTTCACACACCACAATAAGCCCGTATCCTGGTTTAGAAGAACCTGGTTTAGCTACCTGGAGAACTCTAAAAGAAGACAGGACACTGTGTCATGTTAACGCCTGACCTGGGTTTTTCAGAATAAATGTTGTTAATTTTTATGTAAAACTCAGATTATCGAGAAAAAAGGTTTAAATTCAAACAGTGACTCACAGAGAAATCGTCAGTTCTTTATCTCTCATAATAAAATTAGAAGAGCAACTTTAGACATGAAGCCCTATTACTTTAGTCAATGTTTGATTTTTAAAATATATAAACCCTCCTGTTTGTATTCCACAACACTGCAGCCCGTAGGGGTCACTGATGAGTCTTTATCACCATCTGTATAAAATGATGGACGACTCCACAGCTCCCTTAAAGTGAAGCTAGAACATTTAGAGCTCCCCCTGCTGAATGGCTGCAGTATAGCTCATAAGCTCCACCTCCTCCATGTTAACATATGGGACTAGGGTCAAAGTATAAAGTTTAAATACACTTCAGATACATGTTTCTCTGACGTCTCCACAGTCTGTTCTTATCATGTTGAGCTATGTCTCAGTGTTCATGTTTCTGAGAAGTTTAGTTTCAATTATTATTGATGATATAAAAAAGGAGTATGACATCATGATTGACAGCTGTGTTGACCAATGAGGCTCCTGTGTTTCTGTGAGTATTGGATTATCAGAGTTGAGTAGGAATGTCTAGAGGAAACGTAACAAACACTCTCTGTGTCCACAGATGCTGATTGTGAACAGTTTGCTCCAGCAGGGGGCAACTTCACGGTGCTCCTTCCAGTCAAACTGGACGCCACGGACAGATTAATGTGGAAACGTAACGGTGAAAACATATTCAGAAGACATGGAGAGTTGATGATCTTAGGGAAGGTTGAGGACGTCTCTGAGGACGGATCTCTGAGGCTGAGGCAGGTGACAAAGGAAATGGAGGGGACTTACGAGGCCGAGGTCTACACTCAAGACGGGAAATCACGCGGGATGTTCCAAAACGTCCTGTGTGTGCAAGGTAACTACACAAACGCCTCTCCCTAAAGCCTGGCTCAAACTGCGGGATAATTGGGCTGATTTGAGCTCTGATTCTTCCTTCCCGACAATCGCAGGGTCGCTCCCGACTCCAGGCTGCTCGGACCCGATTATCTGCTCAGATTATCTTGTAATGTGAGCGGTACAAAGATCCAATCTTAACGTCCCCGATCTGCCTGGCGATCGCCGGGGACGCCCTGATTTATTTCAAACATGTTTGATATTTAGAATTTCAAATCTTGACGTTAACTTCAGGAAAAGGGTCCGGCAGAAGTTGTGTGTGACTACAATATAATCACAAGAGACAAGGGAGGACTGTAGTCATGGCGACCAGCGGCAGGACGCAACCCGGCTTTTTTTTTAACTTTTACAAACACATAAAGTTCAACTACCTTTACCAATGCGATGTAGTGTGTTTCCTTTGTGTTTATCAATATTCATATGCACTTATACATGTGTTTTAACCATACAAAACTGTATAAACAGAAGAAAAGAATGAGACAGGCAACTGTGCTTCTTTTCAGTTCAGCTTCACTCGGTAGAATGAGGAAGAAACGAGAGTCCCATAACAAAGAGAGTCCATGCATGGGAGAAGCCCAGCGCCACACTGCCTCCTGCTGGTGACGCTAAAGTGTACTGTTATCTGGCTATTATAGCACATATTAGTGATGATCTTTCCTGGTAATATTATTCCAAAAAAAAAAAAAACATAGACACATTACATAAAATGTGACGACACATTTTGTGGGCGTCACATTATGTTACAAAAAGTAGGTAAAAGACCATACTCATTTTCTTTTAACATTACAAAAGAGCAGGTAAAAGACTTTACTTATTGTTATGTTACAAAAAGCAGGTAAAAGACACATATATATATATATATATATATATATCTGTTACCAAAGAGGTAACAGGTATATTTTAGCCTGTAACAGATATATATATATCTATATATATAGATATATATATATATCGGTCTGTAACAGATAACTATTTCTTCAGAGAAATGTTTAGTTCTTTATCTCTCAATAAAATTAGAAGAGCAACTTTAGACATGAAGCCCTACTAATGTATGATTACTTTAGTCAATGTTTGATTTTTAAAATATATATTTATGAACCCTCCTGTTTGTATTCCACAACACTGCAGCCCGTAGGGGTCACTGATGAGTCTTTATCACCATCTGTATAAAATGATGGACGACTCCACAGCTCCCTTAAAGTGAAGCTAGAACATTTAGAGCTCCCCCTGCTGAATGGCTGCAGTATAGCTCATAAGCTCCACCTCCTCCATGTTAACATATGGGACTAGGGTCAAAGTATAAAGTTTAAATACACTTCAGATACATGTTTCTCTGACGTCTCCACAGTCTGTTCTTATCATGTTGAGCTATGTCTCAGTGTTCATGTTTCTGAGAAGTTTAGTTTCAATTATTATTGATGATATAAAAAAGGAGTATGACATCATGATTGACAGCTGTGTTGACCAATGAGGCTCCTGTGTTTCTGTGAGTATTGGATTATCAGAGTTGAGCAGGAATGTCTCGAGGAAACGTAACAAACACTCTCTGTGTCCACAGATGCTGATTGTGAACAGTTTGCTCCAGCAGGGGGCGACTTCACGTTGCACCTTCCAGTCAAACTGGACGCCACGGACAGATTAATGTGGAAACGTAACGGTGAAAACATACTTAGAAGCCATGGAGAGTTGATGATCTTAGGGAAGGTTGAGGACGTCTCTGAGGATGGATCTCTGAGGCTGAGGCAGGTGACAAAGAAAATGGAGGGGACTTACGAGGCCGAGGTCTACACTCGAGACGGGATATCACGCGGGACGTTCCAAAACGTCCTGTGTGTGCAAGGTAACTACACAAACGCCTCTCCCTAAAGCCTGGCTCACACTGCGGGATAATTGGGCCGATTTGAGCTCCGATTCTTCCTTCCCGACAATCGCAGGGTCGCTCCAGGCTGCTTGGACCCGATTATCTGCTCAGATTATCTTGTAGTGTGAGCGGTACAAAGATCCAATCTTAACGTTTATTTTAAACATGTTTGATATTTAGAATTTAAAATCTTGACATTAACGTCAGGAAAAGGGTCCGTCAGAAGTTGTGTGTGACTACAATATAATCACGAGAGACAAGGGAGGACTGTAGTCATGGCGACCAGCGGCAGGACGCAACCCGACATTTTTTTGTTTGTTTTTTACTTTTACAAACACATAAAGTTCAACTACCTTTGCCAATGCGATGTAGCGTGTTTCCTTTGTGTTTATCAATATTTATATGCACTTATACATGTGTTTTAACCATACAAAACTGTATAAACAGAAGAAAAGAATGAGACAGGCAACTGTGCTTCTTTTCAGTTCAGCTTCACTCGGTAGAATGAGGAAGAAACGACAGTCCCATAACAAAGAGAGTCCATACATGGGAGAAGCCCAGCGCCACACTGCCTCCTGCTGTCGACACTAAAGTGTGAGTAGGAATGTCTCGAGGAAACGTAACAAACACTCTCTGTGTCCACAGATGCTGATTGTGAACAGTTTGCTCCAGCAGGGGGCGACTTCACGGTGCACCTTCCAGCCAAACTGGACGCCACGGACAGATTAATGTGGAAACGTAACGGTGAAAACATATTCAGAAGACATGGAGAGTTGATGATCTTAGGGAAGGTTGAGGACGTCTCTGAGGATGGATCTCTGAGGCTGAGGCAGGTGACAAAGAAAATGGAGGGGACTTACGAGGCCGAGGTCTACACTCGAGACGGGATATCACGCGGGACGTTCCAAAACGTCCTGTGTGTGCAAGGTAACTACACAAACGCCTCTCCCTAAAGCCTGGCTCACACTGCGGGATAATTGGGCCGATTTGAGCTCTGATTCTTCCTTCCCGACAATCGCAGGGTCGCTCCCGACTCCAGGCTGCTCGGACCCGATTATCTGCTCAGATTATCTTGTAGTGTGAGCGGTACAAAGATCCAATCTTAACGTCCCTGATCTGTCTGGCGATCGCCGGGGACGCCCTGATTTATTTCAAACATGTTTGATATTTAGAATTTCAAATCTTGACGTTAACTTCAGGAAAAGGGTCCGGCAGAAGTTGTGTGTGACTACATTATAATCACAAGAGACAAGGGAGGACTGTAGTCATGGCGACCAGCGGCAGGACGCAACCCGGCTTTTTTTTTTACTTTTACAAACACATAAAGTTCAGCTACCTTTACCAATGCGATGTAGCGTGTTTCCTTTGTGTTTATCAATATTTATATGCACTTATACATGTGTTTTAACCATACAAAACTGTATAAACAGAAGAAAAGAATGAGACAGGCAACTGTGCTTCTTTTCAGTTCAGCTTCACTCGGTAGAATGAGGAAGAAACGAGAGTCCCATAACAAAGAGAGTCCATGCATGGGAGAAGCCCAGCGCCACACTGCCTCCTGCTGGTGACGCTAAAGTGTACCGTTATCTGGGTATTATAGATGAGATGAGATGAGATTCAACTTTATTGTCATTACACATATACAAGTATAGAGTAACGAAATGAGGTACATATTAGTGTAATATATAGAGTAGTATAGAGTAATATAGCACATATTAGTGATGATCTTTCCTGGTAATATTATTCCAAAAAAAAAAAAACATAGACACATTACATAAAATGTGATGACACATTTTGTGGGCGTCACATTATGTTACAAAAAGTAGGTAAAAGACCATACTCATTGTCTTTTAACATTACAATAGAGCAGGGAAAAAACTTTACTCATTGTTATGTTAGAAAAAGCAGGTAAAAGACATATATATATATATATATATATATATATATATCTGTTACCAAAGAGGTAACAGATATAATTTAGCCTGTAACAGATATATATATATATATATCGGTCTGTAACAGATAACTATTTCTTCAGAGAAATGTTTAGTTCTTTATCTCTCAATAAAATTAGAAGAGCAACTTTAGACATGAAGCCCTACTAATGTATGATTACTTTCGTCAATGTTTGATTTTTAAAATATATATTTATGAACCCTCCTGTTTGTATTCCATAACACTGCAACCTGTAGGGGTCGCTGATGAGTCTTTATCACCATCTGTATAAAATGATGGACGACTCCACAGCTCCCTTAAAGTGAAGCTAGAACATTTAGAGCTCCCCCTGCTGAATGGCTGCAGTATAGCTCATAAGCTCCACCTCCTCCATGTTAACATATGGGACTAGGGTCAATGTATAAAATTTAAATACACTTCAGATACATGTTTCTCTGACGTCTCCACAGTCTGTTCTTATCATGTTGAGCTATGTCTCAGTGTTCATGTTTCTGAGAAGTTTAGTTTCAATTATTATTGATGATATAAAAAAGGAGTATGACATCATGATTGACAGCTGTGTTGACCAATGAGGCTCCTGTGTTTCTGTGAGTATTGGATTATCAGAGTTGAGCAGGAATGTCTAGAGGAAACGTAACAAACACTCTCTGTGTCCACAGATGCTGATTGTGAACAGTTTGCTCCAGCAGGGGGCGACTTCACGTTGCACCTTCCAGCCAAACTGGACGCCACGGACAGATTAATGTGGAAACGTAACGGTGAAAACATATTTAGAAGACATAGACAGTTGATAATCTTAGGGAAGGTTGAGGACGTCTCTGAGGACGGATCTCTGAGGCTGAGGCAGGTGACAAAGGAAATGGAGGGGACTTACGAGGCCGAGGTCTACACTCAAGACGGGAAATCACGCGGGACGTTCCAAAACGTCCTGTGTGTGCAAGGTAACTACACAAACGCCTCTCCCTAAAGCCTGGCTCACACTGCGGGATAATTGGGCCGATTTGAGCTCCGATTCTTCCTTCCCGACAATCGCAGGGTCGCTCCCGACTCCAGGCTGCTCGGACCCGATTATCTGCTCAGATTATCTTGTAGTGTGAGCGGTACAAAGATCCAATCTTAACGTTTATTTTAAACATGTTTGATATTTAGAATTTAAAATCTTGACATTAACTTCAGGAAAAGGGTCCGTCAGAAGTTGTGTGTGACTACAATATAATCACAAGAGACAAGGGAGGACTGTAGTCATGGCGACCAGCGGCAGGACGCAACCCGACGTTTTTTTGTTTGTTTTTTACTTTTACAAACACATAAAGTTCAACTACCTTTACCAATGCGATGTAGTGTGTTTCCTTTGTGTTTATCAATATTCATATGCACTTATACATGTGTTTTAACCATACAAAACTGTATAAACAGAAGAAAAGAATGAGACAGGCAACTGTGCTTCTTTTCAGTTCAGCTTCACTCGGTAGAATGAGGAAGAAACGACAGTCCCATAACAAAGAGAGTCCATACATGGGAGAAGCCCAGCGCCACACTGCCTCCTGCTGGCAACACTAAAGTGTACTGTTATCTGGCTATTATAGCACATATTAGTGATGATCTTTCCTGGTAATATTATTCCAAAAAAAAAAAAAACATAGACACATTACATAAAATGTGACGACACATTTTGTGGGCGTCACATTATGTTACAAAAAGTAGGTAAAAGACCATACTCATTTTCTTTTAACATTAGAAAAGAGCAGGTAAAAAACTTTACTCATTGTTATGTTAGAAAAAGCAGGTAAAAGACATATATATATATATATATATATCTGTTACCAAAGAGGTAACAGATATAATTTAGCCTGTAACAGATATATATATATATATATATATCGGTCTGTAACAGATAACTATTTCTTCAGAGAAATGTTCAGTTCTTTATCTCTCAATAAAATTAGAAGAGCAACTTTAGACATGAAGCCCTACTAATGTATGATTACGTTAGTCAATGTTTGATTTTTAAAATATATATTTATGAACCCTCCTGTTTGTATTCCACAACACTGCAGCCTGTAGGGGTCACTGATGAGTCTTTATCACAATCTGTATAAAATGATGGACGACTCCACAGCTCCCTTAAAGTGAAGCTAGAACATTTAGAGCTCCCCCTGCTGAATGGCTGCAGTATAGCTCATAAGCTCCGCCTCCTCCATGTTAACATATGGGACTAGGGTCAAAGTATAAAGTTTAAATACACTTCAGATACATGTTTCTCTGACGTCTCCACAGTCTGTTCTTATCATGTTGAGCTATGTCTCAGTGTTCATGTTTCTGAGAAGTTTAGTTTCAATTATTGTTGATGATATAAAAAAGGAGTATGACATCATGATTGACAGCTGTGTTGACCCATGAGGCTCCTGTGTTTCTGTGAGTATTGGATTATCAGAGTTGAGTAGGAATGTCTAGAGGAAACGTAACAAACACTCTCTGTGTCCACAGATGCTGATTGTGAACAGTTTGCTCCAGCAGGGGGCGACTTCACGGTGCTCCTTCCAGTCAAACTGGACGCCACGGACAGATTAATGTGGAAACGTAACGGTGAAAACATATTCAGAAGACATGGAGAGTTGATGATCTTAGGGAAGGTTGAGGACGTCTCTGAGGACGGATCTCTGAGGCTGAGGCAGGTGACAAAGAAAATGGAGGGGACTTACGAGGCCGAGGTCTACACTCGAGACGGGATATCACGCGGGACGTTCCAAAACGTCCTGTGTGTGCAAGGTAACTACACAAACGCCTCTCCCTAAAGCCTGGCTCACACTGCGGGATAATTGGGCCGATTTGAGCTCCGATTCTTCCTTCCCGACAATCGCAGGGTTGCTCCCGACTCCAGGCTGCTCGGACCCGATTATCTGCTCAGATTATCTTGTAGTGTGAGCGGTACAAAGATCCAATCTTAACGTCCCTGATCTGTCTGGCGATCGTCGGGGACGCCCTGATTTATTTCAAACATGTTTGATATTTAGAATTTCAAATCTTGACGTTAACTTCAGGAAAAAGGTCCGGCAGAAGTTGTGTGTGACTACATTATAATCACAAGAGACAAGGGAGGACTGTAGTCATGGCGACCAGCGGCAGGACGCAACCTGGCTTTTTTTTTTACTTTTACAAACACATAAAGTTCAACTACCTTTACCAATGCGATGTAGTGTGTTTCCTTTGTGTTTATCAATATTTATATGCACTTATACATGTGTTTTAACCATACAAAACTGTATAAACAGAAGAAAAGAATGAGACAGGCAACTGTGCTTCTTTTCAGTTCAGCTTCACTCGGTAGAATGAGGAAGAAACGACAGTCCCATAACAAAGAGAGTCCATACATGGGAGAAGCCCAGCGCCACACTGCCTCCTGCTGGCAACACTAAAGTGTACTGTTATCTGGCTATTATAGCACATATTAGTGATGATCTTTCCTGGTAATATTATTCCAAAAAAAAAAAAAAAAAACATTGACACATTACATAAAATGTGATGACACATTTTGTGGGCGTCACATTATGTTACAAAAAGTAGGTAAAAGACCATACTCATTGTTATGTTATCAAAAGCAGGTAAAAGACCATACTCATTGTTATGTTATCAAAAGCAGGTAAAAGACCATACTCATTGTTATGTTACAAAAAGCAGGTAAAAGACCTTACTCATTGTTATGTTATCAAAAGCAGGTAAAAGACCATACTCATTGTTATGTTACAAAAAGCAGGTAAAAGACCTTACTCATTGTTATATTATAATAAAGCGGGTAAAAGACCATACTCATTGTTATGTTACAAAAAGCGGGTAAAAGACCTTACTCATTCTTATGTTACAAAAAGCGGGTAAAAGACCTTACTCATTGTTATGTTACAAAAAGCAGGTAAAAGACCATACTCATTGTTATGTTACAAAAAGCAGGTAAAAGACCTTACTCATTGTTATGTTACAATAAAGCAGGTAAAAGACCTTACTCATTGTTTTGTTACAATAAAGCAGGTAAAAGACCTTACTCATTGTTTTGTTACAATAAAGCAGGTAAAAGACCTTACTCATTGTTATGTTACAACACAATGTTTTCTTTAGCTTTTATACTTTTATTTGTAGAAGACACAAAAACATAAAAGGTCCAAACCACTAACCCTCCGACAGGTGAAAGCATCGAGCTACAGGTGGCATAAGAACGGCCAAGAGCTGAAGTGCACAGTTGAGTCTGTGAAACTCTCAGCTGAAGCGGTGAAGGAGGAGAGAGTCACCTGCACCGTGTCTAACATCGTCAGCAACATGAGCAGCGAGGCCATCAGCCAGGACTGTATCAAGTCAGGTGAGCTCTGATCACACCTGTCCTATACCTTCATCTCACATGTCACTGAGCAAACCACTGGATGGATTCCCTCTCATTTCTGGTTCGGGTGAGTAAAAGTAAAAGTGAGAAAAGGAAGAAACTTGCAGCAGAAATTAAACTTAATGAAGAACACACTCACACACACACACACAGTGTGGAGATGGTTTAGGTTCTCTGTTATTGTAGATTTCAGGGGAAGTGTATCTGTGGATAAGAATCAAAATCATTTCAAACACCTCGACTCTCTCTGTGTTTACACTGTGACAAAACAGGAAGTGCTTTTCCATCCTCTCTAATAAAACCTTTCTGTAAGATGTCAGAGGAAACAAAGCAGCATGCACCACATCTCCATGGGTAGCAGAATTCAACGTAACACTGTCTCTTCTCTGTGAACCATGGGAGTTGACTCCTGATTAAAGTGATGATATTTACTCAAAGTGCTTTTTACACTGCAGGTCAAACCTAAACATTCACACACTGATGGTAGTGATCGCTATGTAGCATCATCTATCAGAAGTAACTAATCCCATTCATACACCACCACCGAAGCAGCAGGGGCAAGGGTTAAGTGTCTTGCCCAAGGACACATCGGACATGTTGCCCAGCTAAGGAATCGAACCCTCGACCTTCAGGTTGAGAAGCGACGACTACCAACTGAGTCACAGCCTCCCCAATGAAAGCTGTGAAAAATGAAGCCGATGCTGAAGTGTAAAAATCCTGCAGTTCCTCGAGTGTCCACTAGAGGCTGGCTGCAGAAGCACAGGAAGTCACATACACACCCAATCTAAAAAGCCTGTTTTTACAGCAGAGATTAACATGTTTACAGCCTGGTTCAAAAAAACAAATAGGTCTGATTAGCTCATGTCTCGATCGACACACACTGTATGGGGGGGGGGTGAATGTTTTGATGACTCATCAGTTTTGATTTGATGAAGGATAAGAGTTATTCACAATAAGGCGTGTAGCTGACATGATTGGCAGGTGGGCGCGGTGTAACGGTTTGTCAGGAGGTTTAAAACCCGCCTCAGCTCCAGCTCTCAGCCTGTCGTTAGGTTGACTGAAAGTTAGACTGAGACAGCATTTCCAGCATGGAGACCGCCATCGATGGGACTCCAGGTCAAACATGGACACACGTGATGATGTCATAAAGATCAGAAAGTGTCTGTCGGCTGATTTAATGAAAACAAACTCACCAAGTCTGAATGTTTAAGCGGGTCATGAGTTTAAGCAGCAGTGTGTCATAACCCACACATTTCACATGTCAACACATGCACCGTGCACACACACACACACACACACACACATGCACACACACGCACACACACACACACCTGATTCAGAACATAAATCGTTGTCTCCATTATAGTTCTGCCAATAGTGCCTCCATGCTGGCTGCACAGCTTCTTTATAGTGCACCTTTGACGTATATGTGGGGCGGTGCCGGGCGGGCGGGGTAAGTGACAGAATGAGGTTGGGAAATGAGCGAGAGGGGGATCCACGGGAAGGAGGAACACTGGACCGATACCAAACACTAAAGAGAAAGAGAGAGAAAAAATAGGGGGAAATATGCAAATACATCAATGGAGAGTGAGTCTAGAGGGGATAACACAGCTGGCACACAATGTGCATTCTAAAACCCGAGTATATTGTTTCTCGTACGGAAGCCCACACATGGCATCAAGGCAGCATGATGTGTGTCATCATTCTTATATTTTCCAGCTGAACAATGGATATAAATCTCATATTCATTTCAATCCTGAATTGGCCTTCCTGTAGCTTGTCGTCTTTCTGTACAGCATACATCTGGTCTACTATCCTGCAGTGAAAGGACACAGTCCATGAAGATTTGTCCATCAGAGGAAGTGAGGGCCAGACTGAAACCTGCGTTTGCTCAAAAAGTTCAGCCAAAACGCAGACAATCTTCATCTTCAGTTTGAATGAAAAATATCTCAAAATATTTTTTCAAGGTAAAGAGTGAACATAGAAGTTAAAGAAGATAACATTGTTTCCGTTGTCACTTGCAGGATAATTCATTTCCAGCATTTTCCATCAGATATTTTTTTACTGAACTTTTTTTTTTTGAACGTTTGTAAATTACAAATTTTGCACACAAGTATTGGCATCACAATCGTCAAAATGTCTTTTCACAACAAGAAGTAAAAAGTGTGTCCTCCGCTTGGCTCTGAGCAGCAGAAAGTGGCCTGTCATTCCTCTGGCCTGCCTGGAAGCTCTAAGCCCGTCGTAAATGCTGTTGTAATGTGTGTGTGTGTGTGTGTGTGTGTGTGTGTGTGTGTGTGTGTGTGTGTGTGTGTGTGTGTGTGTGGCTGCTGCAGTACTGTCAATAAGTGCTTGATGGCCGAGACTGTGACTGTCTCTCTCTCTCTCTCTCTCTCTCTGCAGCAGCTCAGAGGAGATGGATGGTGAAAGAGCCGGGCCCCTCAGCGACTTTTATCTCCCCTCTCCACTCCTCCATCACTCTGTCCTGAATCTTCTGCCATTTTTTCCCCTCTGGTCTTCCTCCTGCACCCCCCCCCCCATCCTTCTCCTCCATCTGTTGCCAGGCCTCTCTCCCTCTTTCTTAACCTTTTTCTGTGAATGAATGTTTCTCATTTCCTTCCCCTGCAGACCTTCTTTTCATGCCGTCCTTTATGTCTCCACGTGCCTCCTCATCTCTCCTCTGAGCTTTTAAAAAATACTAGTTCGGCTATAAGACTACAAATCTCTCTCCTTATCTGTCTCTGTTGTTTTATGCTCTCTCCAGTCTCGTTGCTGTGTTTTTTGGGCCGGTTGACTCACTAACGGAATTTTGTATGAGCTCTATAAACTCCCTGCTGTAAAAACAAGGTCATTTTTTTCTTTACAGTTTAACATATTCAGTATCTGATATTTCACTTTCTGAAACACTCCTCACCTGTCCTTTCATTTATTTATAATACATGTTTTGTTAATAACATTCAGACAATTGTTCGTATTTAATCTCTAATTCTTCTTCTCCCCTAGTTCAATTTAATCCAGATGACAAAACCGGGTATGGAACAACTGGTTCTACAAAAAGCAGACACTGAATTTAACTTTCTGGCAGTTTTAAAACTTCTGTGTACAAAATCACAGAGTCTTCAGTTCACTCTTTGTAGATAGGATGTAAATCCAAACACCTACTTTACCACTAACCCTAACCCTAACCCTCTAATCCGATATTGAAACTGGTTCAGTGTTGCATTTGTGTTTTCTAAGGTGACAAAGAAAACCTTACCAGAAGCTACCTGTTGTTTGTGGCAAAATCCTAAAAATGTCACATGAATTTTCATCACAAGGTTAGTTTAGAGTTATATGAATCCAGGTGTTTCTAGTTGTATTGGGAAAGGGTTTAAGGTTTTGACATACAACAGTCAAAGGTTAGCCTCTATAGAAACACCATTGTCTTTGTTAGAATGAAAAGGCAGTGTAGCGGTACAAAGAACAAGCAAGAACAACTTAAAATACTTTAATGGATCTAAGATATTCAACCTTACCCAACATCATTGATCAAGGGAAAACAATTACTTAGCCACAAATTTACCTCACATTACAATATGTGCAATGTGCATATTGTGGATTGTATGACTAGTGTGGCCGTTTTTTACACTGACAGCACCCATTTCAATTCAAAACCAAAATACAGTTCAGCTTCTTCAGCACTCAGCATCCTGAGTGCAAAAGCTCCCTCAGCCTCGGCTGTTTTTGGACGCTACACTCACAGCGCTCTCAGTTGAAAACGGTTCATTTTTTTTAAACAGCACTGCGCTCGTCAATGTCACTTCATCTTCACCGACCAATTAAAATCACGAATGGGTTAGACTTCTGATATCAACTTTGTGAATTTCCAA